TAACACGTGGCAGTAGAAGCTTTTGCCCTACAACACACGATAGGAAAACCGATGTAGGGAAAGAGGTCTTCTGGAATAGATGAGATTCAAACGCATCCACCCTCTGCACTCATGTCTTAAAATGCCAATTATGTAAGTTGTGATTTCGGTATTCTTTGATTTTTTTTGAATTTTGGTGTTTTTGAGTACGTAATTTCACTATTTTATTCTCTTTCTTGGGTTTTGGGTATGTGATGCGAAAATTGAGTCCCTTTTGATCGCCGAGTAAAATAGCTTCAACAAAGCATCATGTTAACAAAATGAGAATTGAGTTTATCATCTTCAAAATTTAGGAAAAGATGATCAACTAACAAAATCAGGGTTTGAATATTAATATTTCTTCTTTTTTTTTTTGTATATTTATGATATACTAAGATTTCTCAACATCTTGCAAACTAGCTTGATACTATGGAATCAAATTGCATCACTCACTATGTCTTCAATTCCTATAGTTTTTCTTAGGATTGATTTGTTGGTCTCTTGTTTCCAGATTCTGACATATTTTAAAGCTCTGATATTGCATTTAGGATCTTTTATCAAGCAAAGGCAACTTCTCTTGGTGGGGCAGCGAAGCAAAAGAAAAATGAGACTCAGCCAGGGCCAATACTCCTTGCCATGGTTGACAATAATCTTGTTTTTTTTTTTTCAATTTATGTGTCTTTTATTTATTGGATGGACTTGGTTTAGTGCTGATTTAATTTGGTAATTTGTTTTGTGTTGTTATTAAGTTGTCAAGCGTGTTGTGTCATGGGATTTCTACTCTTTTGATTGATAGAATGTGACTCTGTTATCAATTTGAAATGTAATTTTTGTAATACCTTTCATGTTTGATATATTGTTATAAGTTCAAATTCTCTTTGCATTGCTGACTTGAGCATTGAATTGGAGAACACTCTGGTAGCCCTTCATCGCCGGCCTTGTTACACTTTTGCAGGTTTTTTTTCCTACCTAAAAAACCATATTTATTTTATTTCATTTTCTTACATCATTTGCAATCCTAGATTCTTTTGGTCGCTAAGAAGGAAATAATTGTTGTAGATTGAAGTGAACAGTAAAAGGAGTTCAGTTTAGGAATCACCAAAACAAAAAAAAGCAAGGCATGGTGAAAAATTACAACTTTAAAATAATTACTCAGCTCTCATAAAGTCGAAGTAGTAAGTATATTTTGACTTGTTTACTGCATTTCATTCTCTTTATTTTTTCTTTTGCTTGTTCCCTAGAGTTTTGTTCATTGGTTATTTGATGGTGTAATTGTATTAAGTGGGCCAAAATTTTCAAAAAGTAAGTTTAACAAAATTGTGGGTGGATGAAATGACATTGTTCTTTTATTATTCCATTTCACTCTCTTCATTTTTTTTTCCTTAATTTTGGGTTTTATTGCATTTTTGTGATCTTTACATTTTCTTTATAAATTGGTTTCTAGTTATAGCTTAAATTAAGCACCTTTTGATAGTTGAGTCAATTAGCTCAAGCTCAAGGTCTCTCTTTCCTCTGGGTTTTGGTTGCTTCAATGCCTAAATTGCTTCTTATAT